GTGGTACACCTTCTCTGTCACGTAGTCCTGCTCCCTCGAGTTCTCCAGCGCCATGGCGTACTTGTACTTCCGCATCACACACATCTTCTGTAGGTACCGCCCACCGATGGTAGCACATTGGGGAGGAATCTTTTTATTTTTTGCGCACTTACCGTAACTATGAACAGGGTAGTACCTTGACAGACGATGGATCACCTCTACACGGCGTGCTTTGCATCTGGAAACAAACACCGCAATCGCCGACTGACGTTGCTTCCATACAGACCACGTCGTACTGTAAGCCTCACCGTTACTCCCCTTGTTGCTACGAATAATATCCATAAATGAAGACTGGTGACGTTTAGCCCAGGTGAAATAATACCGCCTATGTTGATGAAAGGAAACAACCTCGTCATACTGACGTTGGTAAGCGTCATTTCCTCGTTTGTAGTCGGTGTAATTACTTTCCCCCGAGTAGAACAGTGTAGTGTATGGTCGGCCATTCGCAAAACGTCTCGGAACAGGTCCATTATGATTGATCACAATATCCGCCAAAATCACCTCTTCTCCGCGTCCCCGCGCCCGCACGTGACAGTTGAATTCACCGCCACTTTCTTGTCTATTCAAACCACAGGACTGAACACATCCCCCAGACACATGTTTCGCGGTCGCCATGTAGTCGCACAGATATGTACCCGTTCGCGTAGGCACAACGAGTACATCATTTCTTTTGTCGAAAGAACTCGTCACATCATGTGGTCGGTTAGGGTCATAAAAAGAAGAACCAAGAGCTATTTCCCGCGAAGTTGAAGACACTCCATCGTCCCCACAAAAAAGCAAAAAAAACAAAGCTAACCCACATGACACTAATACAACTATCCGCAACAAACGATGGGGCGGCGAACGCATACAAAAAGAATGCAACTATAAGGAAAAAGGAAAAAAAAAGGAGGAAAAAAAAGAACACATACAACACTCAGAGAAACAAAAAGAAAGCCACGGCAGCAACGGCACAACAAAGAAGGCATGCACTGCGTCCACACACACACGCAGCCAAGCGCAGTTGCAACCAGATGTCAAACCCCCCAGCCACAGCAATCAGAGCACCTCTCGAGGTAATACAACCAGAGCACGCCGCGCACAGCAACCCACCCAAGAGCCCACCCTGCTTCTGCCACCAGCTCCACACCCTTGCGCCATTCTCCACCGCCTTCATTGCCCACTGAGGCAGTTGCAACTCGTCGTGTCAGTACACAGGCACAAACAAGGNACCAAGAAATACAACCACAAGCAGCCACAGTCACACATCACCACGGGGCTGCGGAGGGCCGCACACCACCACCAATGCCGTGCTACGCAGCAGGCACAGGCTGCCCATCGGTACAGCTCCGCAGCCTTTGCGCCTCCAGTCGCACAAAGCTGGTGGGCGAGGAAGCAACAGCAGCCAACAGCTCAGCGTCGCAGGTACTGCTCCCCGCCGGCACAGGGCACAGGTTGCCCCAATATGGCCACCGCACAAANNCGGGCCCCACACGACCAGTGGACGCGCTCAGCACCCGCACTGGCAGGACAGCCGCGCACACAAGGGCCGAATCGCACCGCCGCACACACGCAGGCGTCACCGCCAAGAGCACAGCAGCCGTCGGCAAACAACAACAAAGGGGATGATCAGCCTCCGAATGAGACAAAACAAACACAGTCTGGCGCGTCCTCGCTCGCCACACAGACACACACACACCTCCAGCGCAGCAGACCCTGCACCGCGCCCACGCACCAGAGCACCAAAGCAACAACAACACCCCAAGCAAAGTGACACAGCCCGCACAAGCACAACGCCAATATCAGGCACGCCGGTGCAACTCCCACAGTGTCTGAGCCGTTCATGAATACACACACATCATCGGTCTCCCCACACCAGCTGACACCTGCAGCGGATCCCAGCACAGAGCAGATATCGCCCGCACCACACTGTCTGTGCTGGTGGCACCTCGCGCTAGTAGCGACGATACGTGCGCCCTCTTCCTTGCCAGCAGCAACAGCACAATGAGGGTCGAGCAGACACAATGAAAAAGCCTCACCAACAAAGAAGAAATCATGCACACATGCAATTAACACTCACACACATACTTGCAGCCAGACTTCGCCCAGCGCCCAATTTATTGGGCAACACTTACTGCTTGTAATTACAATGCAACTATTGGGATGGCCCATCATAACACATGTATTCATTAACCAGTGTCAGCTCCCTNCCACACTGTCTGTGCTGGTGGCACCTCGCGCTAGTAGCGACGATACGTGCGCCCTCTTCCTTGCCAGCAGCAACAGCACAATGAGGGTCAAGCAGAGACAATGAAAAAGCTTCACCAATAAAGTAAGAAATGGGCAAAACAGCAACAAAAAACCCCAGTCAAAATAACTCTATCTATCCGCCACGTACATGGCAGCGCTCATAAAAAAGTATATAACTCACCCACTGCATTCTACTGCACATCTTTGATCAATCATTCCTTTGCACACAAAAAAAAGTGACACCAATCTTATAGAAAAGTAACCTCTTTGATACCACTAGAGAACCCCTCATTAAATCTGTTACAGAGACTATGCTTTTCTCACAATCGATTTACACGC